AACAAAGATAACTTTGCGGGTCCCCAAAACAAATCATAAGATGTTTCTTTTTTCATTCAGGGCTGAATTGTGCTATTTGTAGAGTTCCGTTACGTATTCACAACTTTTTGAAGGAAAGCTCTTGGGGTATGCCTTCAGGTTGAGTGAAGGACCAGTCTGTTGCCGGGGAGGGCACAGTTAAACTCTTCCCTTGTAGATTGTTGGTCTGTTCAAGAATCTGCTTCGCTGCCAGCTACTTTTCTCTTTTGATTGGGGAGAAAATATAGGGACTGTGTGCGTGCGCACACACAGAGTGATTGGTGGGAAAGGCCAGGGTACCATTTTGAGCAGAGAAATGATTGACAGGCCCCTGCTATCAAATCATCTACTGAACTTGAAGGTAAAAAATGAAGGCAACTAGGGTTCTCAGCTCTGCACTGACATATTCTGGGAAATTTGGAGGGGGCGACGTCTTGGGAAGGAAGTTTCAGGACGATGTGTGACATCATTCCTGGGTGATGCTCTAGGAATTCCCTCAGTCTCTGTGGTTAAAGGCCATAGAGTCTTGGGGGAATTCCTACAACACCACCTCCACTGCATTTTTTTCACCCACTCTTCAGATTACACATAACATGGAGATTGACTTTCAGTGACTCAGAAGGCTCTGCTATAACGGAAAACACGAGGAATGAGGTACCTTTTGATTCCTTTTGGCTACAGTCCAACGGGTCTCCTTGGCCGTGGTTCTTATGCCCTTACAGAACCTTCTGGTGTGTGTGGTGTGTCTATATGTGGCAGAGTATAACTAATGTATGAAACTGTTGCCCGTCCTGGTCGAGCAGAAATACTAGCTGCTTCTTCCTCTGTAAAATTCTGGGAATTTTGTGCAGTCTGAGGGTTATAAGTTGTTACCAAGCTGTGGAAAGGTGTGAACAGAACTCTGTCAAGCTGTATAGTTGTGATCCCCAAGGAAATGCTCTGTGGGAACCCAGACTTCCCCCGGCTAATACAGCTGCCTGCTGCCGAAATCCCAACTGTCAAAATTAACAGACATTGTGCTGTTGATTCAGTTGGAAAAACAGGATTGTCTCCAATGCGTTAATCCGTCCCACCTGCAAATAATGACAAACCATTATTTATTTTAATCTTGAGTTTTAAATCTGCTGTATTTCCTCTCTTCCCCTCCTTTTCACAGCGATGCTCTGCAGCTGTTATGCAGTTGCGCCACAAAAAATGAGAATACAGAAAAGACACTTGCATATCGTACGGTTTCCTTGTGCCGTATGGAAAGGTTTGATACTTGAATGTTTCTTAGTGCAAAGTCTCTCTCTCACGCGCACGTCTTAAATAGTCGGAATAAACTTGGCGGTTGCCTCAGTAATGTACTGGATTTCCTCTCGCAATATTCAGCAAAAGTAGAAATGCTTCATTGTATGTCATGTATAGCCATATGCATGACACGCAATGAAGCATTTCCACTACATAAATATGTGCTTTTCCTAGCATCTTAACACAGAAAAGTCAGGCTTTCTACAATGTTTGTCTTTTGTATAGTTGTGGAATGCATTATACAGACTGTCCAGGAATAAAAACTGATCACCATTTGTTTTTACTTTTCTTTCTTTCCAGAAATTAATTTGCTTTTTTCCCCACTGAGAGTTTTCAGTTTGAGGGTGGGATTTCAGAAGCTTTTAAAGCTGATGGGGGAAAGAGAACCATCAGATAGTGAGGGTCTGTTTTGGGGGTGCAGAGAGAAGGGGTCATTTAGATGTTCCTAGAGTTGAGGAATTCTGGTTTTTTTCCTTTGGGGAGGAAAACTTTCTGTGTGGAGAAAAGAGGACATTGGCTAGAGTTGCCAAAGATCAGGTATTTGACTGGCCCTTTAAGTATTTTTATTTCCAATTTGAAATTGGATATTTTGTTGAAGAAGCCAAGGGGTTTGATTTTTTCCCCCCTGTTGACCCTACATAAATCAGCTGTGCTTTGCCCCGTGACCCAACAGTGCTTGCAAAAGCCCTTATTCTACCAGGTGACCCTTTGGGCTCATCCAGTAATAAAGCTGCCAACCTCCAGGTGGGGCCTGGAGTTCTGAAATTATAATTGATATCTGAACTACAGAGATTGGTTCCCCTGGAGAAAATTGTAACTTTGGAGGGTGGACGATGTGGTACACAGGCTCCATCCCCCCCTCCCCAGGATCTGCCCCCAAATCTCCAGGAGTTTCCTAACTCAGAGTCAGCAACCCAGTCCAGTAACAACGTACTTTGAAAGTTACGGGTTGGCCATCCTAAGAGGAGCTGGAATCTGCCGCCGTTTCAAGGCTTTTGCAGGGATCGGCAGGGGGTGGGTAGAGTGGAAGTCTCCCTCCCAAATATGTTACTTCCATCCAGCATCTTGCACAATAATTTTTAAAACAACTGTTGGATATGAAAGCGATTTTATTTTAATTTTCTCCCATTAATCCCTTCTTGTCTCTAACAGCAGGGTGGGAAATCCAGACCCGGTTTGTGCACGCTGTAGTGTGTGAAGAAATATTGTTTGCTTATCAAGTAGCAAATCCAAAAGCCTTTGTCTCCGGTGTTACATGCCTAGGAAATACGATGATGAAGAAGACAACATAGGATTTATACCCCGCCCTTCACTACCTGAAGGAGTCTCAGAGCGGCTTACAATCTCCTTCCCTTCTTCTCCCCACAGCAGACACCCTGTGAGGTAGGCGGGGCTGAGAGAACTTGTGACTGACCCAAGGTCACACCAGCAGCTGCACGTGGAGGAGTGGGGAATCAAACCCGGTTCTCCCAGATTAGAGTCCACGCTCCTAAACACTACACCAAACGGGCTTTCACTTACATGTGTTCTTCAGTGGGGCAAATAACTCCCTACCGCATTTCAGGTTGGGAAAAAGCTAGAGGGGAAGCTTGGCTCCCTACCCAGTTTCCTTTGCAGTAAACCTCCTGCTCCATTTGGGCCCACGGAAGTCTGGTATGTAAAGAAAAAACCTTAAGACTTCTGTTCAAGGATGCCAAATCTGTCCTGGTCTCGACCCCTTCCCAGACTGGAGACCCGTACAGTTGGCATAATCATATCCTCAGGTCAGAAGCAGGGGACACATTTCATGAAGCAGTAGGGCTGGTTCTCTGGATGACCCACTCAAGCGATTGCACAGGGCCAGCACAGTCATGAAGACGTCTGTGCACCCCCAGGAACTCTTTTCTTTGGGGAGGGGGTCGTGCTTCAGTGGTAGAACATCTGCTTGGCATGCAGAAGGCTCCAGGTTCAATCCCTAGCATCCCTGAGAGCCAGTTTGGTGTAGTGGTTAGGAGTACGAACTCTAATCTGGGAGAACTGGGTTGGATTCCCCACTCCTCCACATGCAGCTGCTGGTGTGACCTTGGATCAGTCACAATTTTTTTTCAGAGCTGTTCTCTCAAGGGCAGTCCTCGGAAAAAGCTCTCTCAGCCCCACCTACCTCACAGGGTGGTCTGTTGTGGGGAGGGGGAGGAGATTGTAAGCCACTCTGAGACTCCATTGGGTAGTGAAGGGCAGGATATAAATCCAACCTCCTCCTCCTCCTCCTCTTCTTTGCCTGAGACCCTGGAGAGCTGCTGCCAGTCTTGAGTAGACAATGGCCCATTACGCAGACACATCTTACTGCAGATTTTCCAAGCGCTAAGCCTTTAATTTTGACTTCAGATTCTGTGGCTGCCTTATACAACATTTTTTTCCCTCTGGTGTATTTATTCTGCAGCTACAATTTTTTTAAAGCATGTTTCTCAATCGGAGTGGAACGTCACTTGTGCCGGGGGGGGGGGTCCAGCAAGTGCCTCCCATTTAAATCCTTGTGGTTCAAGTTGTGCACATGCATTTTAGTGTTTAGTGTTAGTTCGTTGAAAGACAGGAACAGAAAGGAACACAAGCAAGGGGGGAAAACCAATGTTGAAACTGGGCAGACTTTTTTTGAAACCAGCAAACAACTGCAAAGCCCCATTTTCCGTATTGCCTAGGGGATTCTTTGCCGTGTGATTGGCCACTGTGAAAATTGGGAATGAGTCACACAATCTAATAATATGGGGAAACAACGTTGAGTGGCATTGCAAGCTGTGATCGTTGGCAACGTGTGTGCACGCCTGTGCATAAGAACATAAGAGACGCCAATGTTGGATCAGGCCAAAGGCCCATCCAGTCCAACACTCTGTCACACAATGGCCAAAAATACCAGGTGCCATCAGGAGGTCCAGCTAATAGCCACTGATGGACCTCTGCTCCATATGCTTATCTAATTCCCTTTTGAAGCCGTCCATGCTTGTAGCCGCCACCACTTCCTGTGGCAGTGAATTCCATGTGTTAATCACTCTTTGGGTGAAGAAGTACTTCCTTTTATCCGTTCTAACCCGACCGCTCTGCAGTTTCATGGAGTGCCCACGAGTTCTTGTATTGTGAGAAAGGGAGAAAAGTACCTCTTTCTTTACCTGCTCTTTCCCATGCATAATCTTATAAACCTCGATCATGTCACCCCTTAGTCGTCTTTTCTCCAAGCTAAAGAGCCCTAAGTGCTTTAACCTTTCCTCATAGGGAAAGTGTTCCAACCCTTTTATCATTCGAGTTGCCCTTTTCTGCACTTTTTCCAAAGCTATAATATCCTTTTTAAGGTGTGGTGCCCAGAACTGCACACAGTATTCCAAATGAGGTCTCACCATTGATTTATATAGGGGCATTATGATATTGGCTGATCTGTTTTCAATACCCTTCCTAATAATCCCCAGCATAGCATTGGCCTTCTTTATTGCAGTCGCACACTGTCTCGACATTTTCAGTGAGTTATCTACTACAACTCCAAGATCTCTCT